TCAGCAAACTTTCAAGTCATTAAAACTGATGTCTTGCTCTTAAGCAATAAAACAAATGCACTGCTTGCTCTGGGCTTCTGGAATCCAGTGGTTAATGGATTATGTTTTTGGAATTATTGAGCAAGAGACATTGTTTCAGAGTGCTTGTGCAGCTTGTCGGCTGAAAGTTTGAGCTGTGGACATTATAAATGTAGAGAACTCTGTCTCTTAGTGTGTAGCTTATTTCATATCCCAGATGTTAAGTTGTTGGTGACTATGCTGTCTCGCCAGCAGAGACTTGGGGAAGTTCTGAATCTGTGTTTTACAGGGGGTTGAAGAGGCTGTATTTCATAATCTTTTCTTCACAGTTCTGCCTTTTGGGACTGTGTAAGTGACCTAAAAATGTCATTCCCTAATTATTTGGGCAAAAGTTGTCAGCCTAAATATATCAAAACCAAAGAAACTTGTACAAATAGAGAGCGAAAGTGTACTGACTCCATTGCTCTTAGATGTGAATATATCTATTTTCCTCTGTATTTTGGGTATTTGATGTTTCAAAAATGCTAAGTATCCTCAAATTTGAGGGATCAGTTGTTCCTATTTTTCTGGAACTCTTAAAAGATAATTCTAAGATTTTTTTTTTTTATCATTTTCTTAGTAATTCACAATTTTTTAATAGCTAAAACTGCTTAATACCTCTTGATACTTTGTGTTTTCAACGAAAGGCAAAAGGCTAATACCTTCTTTGCTGCTTAACCCTCTCTCACCTTACAGGCCCAGGAAACTATTTTTTGTACTCTTGTAATTGAGCCTTAGTTTTGTGACAGCAATATTAGCATAAATAGGCATATTAAGTAATGGATGAGATTAAAGTAATCACAGTAAGAAACCATACCCCCTCCTTTCAGTTTTCAGGGTTCTAAAGCATACATAAGTAACCCTGAAAACATTTCATGTTGGTTGGGTGGATGTATCATATCAGTTTACAGTAAAGAGCAGAGCCATGCTATTGGGCAAAACACTTTTAAATTATCATTTATGGAGTTGTATTTGCAGTTGGTATAAAATGCAGGACGGGTTTCACATGCCTCCACCAGAGCAAGGAGAGCACACTCCTGAACAAGATTCCCTTTTGTTTCCTCTACTATGTGTGCAGTGGAAAGAGACGGCTGGGAAAGGATACAGGTTAGAGCGAATAGTTACATTTGACTTTAGGAATGCAGTCTTTCTATCTGATATTTTAGGCTTGTTTTGGCTTTTTTCCACCCTGATTAATTTTGTAATTGATACTGTAGTGCTAGCATTAATCAAATGTTTTCCAGTAATGTCTTGTGTCTGTTGACAGATGAGTATTTTGTTTAGTAGTGTGATATGAGGGACCTCCAAAAGTCTCTCTTAACTGTCTCATGGAGTTACAACTCCTAATTCTACTGCAACTTTTAGT